TGCCGCCCGATTGACATGCTCTCCGCAAATGGGCCCCTGGGCACATCCAGGCGTGCGTTCTGGCCTGAATTTCGAGGCGGCACTAGCTGTGACGACGAGGAGGCTGCCAGAGGCCGACAACAACCAAGATAAACAAACAAGATTTGTTTTCATATGCGTGTGTGTGCCCAGGCACGGCGTCGCCCGTCGGCGGCGGGAGAAGAAGGCGTCGCCCGCCGGGGCGTGCCTACGTAGAGAACCAGACGACATAAACGAAACAGCTCGGGGGTCCGCGCGGGTTTCTTGGAACGGCGCCGGACCGCGTTCCCCCGGAAGTACCGCTAAGCGGCCCAGCGCCGACGCAAGAACCCCGCGCGGACCTCCGAGTTGTTGCGTTTACATGGCTCAAGCCGTTGTGGCTCGACGGGTCTTGGGGGCCCCCTTCGTCTGTGGGGAGCTTCGCAATCTGTCCTGGTGTTGCTTTTCGCCCTCCCTCTCCTCCCGTCGCTCCCTCCCTCCTCCCTCCTCCCCTTCCTCCCTCCCTACTACTACTACTACTACTACTACTACTGCTACTACTACTGGTACTACTACTACTACTACTACCACTACTACTACTACTACTACTACTGCTACTACTCCTACTCCTACTACTACTACTACTACTACTACTACGACGACTACTACGACTACTACTACTACTTCTACTCCTACTACTCCTACTACTCCTACTACTACTACTACTACTACTACTACTACTACTACTACTACGACTACTACACTACTACTGCGGCTGCTACTATTACTAGTACTACTACTACTACTACTACTACTACTACTACTACTACTACTACTACTACTAATACTATTACTACTACTACTACGAATACTATTACTACTACTACTAACTACTACTCTACTACTACTACTACTCTACTACTACTACTACTGCTACTAGTACTACGATAGGGCTACTTCTACTACTACTTACTACTACTACTACTACGACTACTACTACGACTACCACTATTACTACTATACTACTACTACTACCAGTACTACGACTAGTCTACTACTACTACTACTACGACACATACGACTACTACTACTGCTACTACTACTACTACTATTACTACTACTACTACTACTACTACTACTACTACTACTACTACTACTACTACTACTACTACTACGACTGCGACTACGACTACGACACGACTACGACTACGACTACGACGACTACTACTACTACTACCACTACCACTACTACTGCTACTGCTACTAGTACTACGACTGCTAACTAGTACTACTACTACAGGTCTACTACTACTAACTACGACTACTACTAATGACTACTACTACTACTAACTACTACTACTACTACTACTACTACTACTACTACTAATACTACTACTACTACTACTACTTTACTACTACTACTACTACTACTACTACTACTACTACTACTACTACTACTACTACTACTACTACTACTACTACTACTACTACTACTACTACTACTACTACTACTACTACTACTACTACTACTACTACTACTACTACTACTACTACTACTACTACTACTACTACTACTACTACTACTACTACCACTGCTATTACCACTGCTACTTGTACTGTAAGTGCGTGCGCATTGCCGCCGGGCCCCAGGCTCTGCGGTGCTCGCGCTCGCTGTGTTCACAGGCGTTGTGGCGTTCACACGGGTTGTGGCGTTTTCTGGTTCTGTCGCGTGCACAGGCGATGCGGCATTCACGGGCGCTGTGGCGTTCGCAGGCGCTACGTTGACAGGCGCTTTGGTGTTCACAAGCGCTGTGGTGTTCACAGACGCTGCGCTCGTCAAGAGCATTGTGCCGTTTACGGGCACGTCGCGTTGATCGGACCGCAAACTATTGTGGCGCTGGACATAGGCGCGTCGTGGCTGTCGGGTCGCAAACGATTTTTCCGCTGGCGTACTACAGGTGGTGTGCACGTTGACAGCTGTATACACAGGCGCTGTTGTGCACCCGTGCGTTGCGACGTACGCTGACGATGTTGTGCACGCGTAGGTTGCTGCATCAGCATGCGTGGTGTTCGTGGGCATGGCGGCGCTGTGTAGCACTCGCAGCTGCTAGGCCCTTTCGTTGCATGAATGCTATGACCAATAGCAACAAAGGGCAGTCCTTCCAGCACAATCAGCATTCGAGCGGCCAGGCGCGACTGCGTTGTGCGCGCGGAACGTGCTGTTGTGGGCGCAGCAAAGGGTGTGAAAAAAACTTGGTGGTATGGCGCGTTTACAATCGTATACGCAGCTTCTGTGGTTTACGTGATCACTGCCATGCGACATGCACTGTGGTGTACACGCGCGATGTGGTGCGCGCATAGGCTGCTGCATCAGAATGTGTGCATACAGCCATTCGAGCGGCCTGGCGCGGCTGTGTTATGTTATGTGCCAGCGACCCCACCCACCCACCCAGCCACATAACGCGCGTTATGTGGAATGATAAGAACTTGAGCTCCAGCCGCGCGTTGGTCGACGTCGAGGCCGAGGACCTCGCGAGCGCGCGCAGCTGGGCTCTGACGACCCTGCGGCCAGCTTCGCGTGGCGGGATCGGCGGCAGGCGCGGGCGCCAAGGCCCGCGGGATGACGCGCTCGAGGTCCGCCCGGACGTGGGAACCACGCGGCCAGCTCGAAGGCCGTCTCGGGCCACGACCGTTGCGCGCGCAGGTGGGCCGCCCGTCATCCATGGCAGGCGCCTTTCCTGCCCCGTGGGGGCGCGCTCGATCCCGCGCTTCTGGGGCGGCGCGCTCGTGGCTTGGCTGACGGGCGCAAGTTTGCCGGGGGGGCTTGCGACGCTGGAAGGTCCTGCTGCGTTTGGCAGAGGCGGCGCTGGGCCCTCGGTCTCGCGGACCCCGCTGGGCTCTCCTCCAGTGTCTGCGTCTGGCGCGCATCTGGACCGCCCGCCATGCGCGGCTCGCGGGGGCCGACCGCCGGGCCTGGGCCCTGGCATCCCGCGCGGGCGGCAGTGGGCCCAAACGTGGCCCCTCACCCGCGGGTCGTGCCTGGCCCTGCTCCATCACCGCTGGGCACAGCTGCGCTCCAGCTCTCCGCGGCCAGAGCAGGTCCGCGCGCGTGGGTCTGGCCGCCGCCGTTCGCTAACGATGCCGCGGCGGTGCTGGCGCCGAGCGACTGGCCTCCCCAACTCCGTCAGTTCAGCGTGCTGATGCTGGTGGGGGAGGGGCCGTGCGGACGCCGGGGCCGCGAGTCGAATTGTGAAGGAGATCGGCCTAGCTCCGTGCGAACCTCTGATCCCGCAGCGGCTCTCGTCAAGGTCCTTGGCGCGAGCGGGTTCCCTCGCTTGCGCCGCGGGCCGCAGGGCCAGAGCGGAGGGGGGATGGGCGGGTGGCGGCTGCTTCGCAGCCGCCCGACCAGCGCTCCAGGTCTCGGGGGCCAGCTCTCGATCCAGAAGCTGAGCCGAGTCCGAAGTCGGAGGCATTTCCCCCTCCGCTGGTGGGCGCGTCCCACTCCAGCAATGCTGCTACGGCCCCGCAGGGAGGAGGACGAGCCGCTGGTGGGGATGTGGGCGCTCCTGCATCCACGCCGCCAGAGGAGGTGGGCCAGCCGGCAGCTCCTCGTAACAAGGACGCCGTGATGAATATGCTGTTTATAGTCTGTGGGAGCATGGCGAAGAGGAAGTGCGAACGCGACGGCTAGTTCCGAAGCTGTTTGGGCTCAGGGCCTATCCCAGTTGCTGTCCCCCCAACGTGTCCTGCTAGGGAGTGGCCTGATGGACAGGGTCGCGACCGTCCCATTTCCGTGCTAGGAATTCCTTGCCTTGCTTGCGTGGGGTGTGTTGATGGTCTCGGGGGCTGGCCCTGGACGGCCGCGTTGGCCCTTGGGCTCGGTGGACCCTTGTCGGGGCAGGCGTTGGCCCCGAAGGCCTCCGAGGGCATCCTTGGGGAATGGCCCCCCTTGCAGCCCATTGCAGACCGTCTGTGTCTGTGGGTTAGCCATTGCGACCGGATGTGTCCCTGGGCCAGGGGTGTCTCTCTGGCCGCTGGTGGGCGCGTTGGCTGGACAGTATGTTCATATAGCACGGGTTCGGTCCGTCCTGCTGTGGTGTTCTCGGGCGTGGGGTTCCGTGCCAGCCTGTGAACAAAAAAGGCGAGCTGAACCTGGCGCCGATGCGCACGCATGGCGTTTTGGCGCGCGTCGGCCGTCAAAAGGACACCATGAGGATGCTGGTGGTGGTGGTGGTGGTTGCGATGATGATATTGTTGTTGATGATGATTATGACGATGTTGGTGTCGATGGCGACGGTGATGGCCATGCTGACGATGGTGGTGGTGATGCTGCTGCTGATGATGTTGATGATGATTGTGAAGCGGATGGTGCTGGTGTTGGTGATGCTGCTGGTGATGATGGTTGTGGTTGTGGTGATGATGATGCTGATGATGATGCTGATGGTGATGATGACGATGATTAGGAAACTGATGATGCTGATGATGACGATGATGAGGATGATGATGAGGAAGCTCGTAATCATGGTGGTGGTGATGATGGTAATTCTGGTGGTGACTGTGACAAAGATCATGATGAGGATACTGCTGCTATGGATTGTGATGTTGAAGGGTATGATGGTGAATCTGATTGCTGTAAGGAATCTGTTTATGATGAGGATGAGCAGGAGGCGGAGGAGGGGGAGGAGGAAAGGGGACCGAGGAGGAATGTTTGGGAACAGAGGGAGGAAAAACCTTGCGGGAGGGAGGGATGGTGGGAGGGAGGAACGGAGCAAGGGCGGAGGAAGGGAAGGAAACGGAACAGGGAGAAGAGGGTAGAGGAGGGATGAAGAGTATCTGCAGCAGCAGCAGCAACAACAACAATAACAACAGCAGCAGCAGCATGAAGATGAGCCCTCAAGTGGGCTGAGCATTTCCAGCTCCTCGATCCGCACTTTTCGAAGCTCGATTCTCGATCCTTTCCCCCCTCCTTCCTCATCTCCGCCAGGCCCCCCCCCTCCTCGCAGGCCCAGCACGACGGCGGCAAGCTGGAGGTCCCCCCCCCGCAGCGCACGGAGGAGGCAGGGTGATGGAGGTTTCGTTGCTCCTTTAGTTTTTGCTGTTTTTTTTTTTTGTTGGGGGGGGGGGGGGCTCAGTCCCGCCTAGTTCCAGTCCCTCTCCGTGGCCGGCCTCTTCTCGCCCTTTCCCCTCGGGGCAAATTTTCTGAACCGCAGCTCGTTTAGGACTGCTCCCGCGGAACGAGCGATAGCGCTGCGACAGAACTTGTGTTGGTTTGGGGTCCTTTAGAGTCTTCTGGTGAGTTCGGATATCTCGGGACACCCGAGAGGCTTACCATCAGGATGATGATGCTGCTGGTGCTGCTGCTGCTGCTGCTGATGATGATGATGGTGATGCTGACGCTGATGATGATGACGACGATGCTGATGCTGATAATGGTGAAGATGATAATGATGATGATGCTGATGATGGTGCTGCTGATGATGATGACGATGATGACGATGCTGATTAATCTGATGATGGTGCTGCTGCTGGTGATGCTGATACTGATACTGATGATGATGATGCTGCTGATGATGATGATGGTGGTGATGATGATGCTGATTCTGATGATGATGATGCTGGAGGAGGTGATGATGCTGCTGATGATGCTGATGCTGATGATGATGATGATGATGATGAGGCTGATGATGCTGAGGATGAGGCTGATGATGCTGATGCTGATGCTGATGCTGATGCTGATGATCATGACGATGGTGACGATAGTGATGATGATGACGATGATGATGATGATGACGATGGAGAAGGTGATGATGATGCTGCTGCTGATGATGATGGTGGTGAGGCTGCTCATGATGAGGCTGATGATGCTCATGATGATGTTTATGATGATGGCGATGATGCTGCTGATCATGATGGTGATGATGATGATGATGGCCAGTGGTGGTGGTGTTGGTAGTGGTGGTGGTGGTGATGATGATGACTATGATGATGATGGTGATGATGATGATGCTGATGACGATGATGATGCTGATGATGGTGCTGCTGCTGCGAATGATGATGCTGCTGCTGATGATAATATTGATGATGATGCTGATGCTGATGATGCTGTTGATGATGTTGATGCTGATACTGATGCTGATGCTGATGCTGCTGATGATGCTGATGATGCTGCTGCTGATGATGATGCTGATTATGATGCTGATAATGACGATTATGATGATGACGATGATGATCGTGATGATGATGCTGATTATGATGATGATGATGATGATGATGATGATGATGATGATGATGATGATGATGATGATGATGATGATGATGATGCTGCTGATGATGATGATGCCTATGCTTATGATGATGATGATGATGATGACGATGATGATGATGATGATGATGATGATGATGATGATGATGATGATGATGATGATGATGATGCTGCTGCTGCTGATGCTGATGATACTGAGGAGGAGGAGGAGGAGGAGGAGGAGGAGGAGGAGGAGGGGGAGGACGAGATGGAGGAGGAGGAGGGAGGAGGAGGAGGAAGGAGGAGGACTAGGAGGGAGGAGGAGAGGGAGGTGGGGAGGGAGGAGGAGGAGGAGGAGGAGGAGGAGGAGGAGGAGGAGCTGGAGAGCGGTGGTCAACATAATCCCGAGCAGAGCATCACGACACAGCGCCGATGCCGCCGGCGACGGTGGCGGTGGGTGATTACGGTTCACACCAGAACGCAACACTTGGGACCGGCCCAGCCCATGAGGTCTGGGTCACAGTCAGCGCATCGTTCAGCAGTGCTGCAGACGCCTCTCTGACCGATTTCCCTGGAGCAGCACCGAAACACATCGGGTTTGCGCCCTCGTGCCTTTGTGAGACTGGTCAGCGTTTCGGCACCGAGAAGGGAGAGAGCGGTGGTGTCTGTCGCTTATGGAGGGAGGAGGGGGAGGGACGATGTCGAGGAGGGATTGACAACGTGGATGACGATCGTGGGTGACGAGATTGGCGATTGGGGATGACGATCGAAGTGCAACGGAGACCCCCCCACCAGGAAATCGGTTTCGGTTTCGGATTCGTGTCGTGCGTGCGGGTGAGGCGAAGCTGTGTGGGCGGGCGAGAGGAATGTACCCTCCTCTGGATAGGGCGCGGCGAGGACAGAAGTCCGCCCCCTCCCGGCCGCGTGGCGGGCGGGGGCCGGTGGTGCCCCGCGATGGTGTCCCGATGGTGTCCCGTAGTGTCCTGTGGTGTCCCGTGGTATCCCGCGGTGCCTCGATTGGTGTCCCGACGGTGCTCTGGTGGTGTGTCGGTGGTGTCCCGCGGTGTTCCGCCGTGGTGTCCCGACTTTCCTGTGTTCCGTGGTGTCCCGTGGTGTCCCGCGGTGTCCCGCGGTGTCCCGTGGTGTCCCGTGATTGTGTCCCGTGGTGTCCCGTGGTGTGTCCATTGGTGTCCCGATGGTTTCCCGATGGTGTCCCGTCGGTGTTCCGTCGGTGTCCCGTCTTTGTCCCGCCGATTTCCCGCGGTGTCCCGTGGTGTTCTGTGAGATCGATGGCGATGTCGATAGTGAGATCGATATTGAGAACGATAGTGAGATCGATAGTGAGATCGATAGTGGGATTGATAGTGAGATCAATAGTGAGATCGATGGTGAGATCGAGTATCGAGTCGATTTTGAGATCGATAGTTCGATCGATAGCAAGATCTACAGTGGGACTGATAGTGAGATCGATAGTTGGATCGATTGTGAGATCGATACCGAGAGGGATAGTGAGATCGATTGTGCGATCGATAGCGATATCGATTGTGAGATCGATAGTAGGATCGATCATCAGATCGTTTGGGTGAGACGTTGGCTTACTCCTTGTCACTTGAAGGGTCGTCGTATAGGTAATGATACGGAGAACCCGAGCAAACCTAGAATGCATCAACGATGCTGCAACATACCCTCCCGTCCCAAGTTTCGTCCTCCTCGTCGCCATCGTCGTCGTCGCCGTTGTTATCTTCGCCCCTTCTCATCCTCCTCCCAGCCTTTCGCTGCTGCTAGTCCTTTAGTATATTTGCATTCGCAATACGTGTTTACATTTTCGCCTTTGAAGACGCTTCTTCTATTTCCTGCTGCGGGTAAGGCCTTATCCCCATTGGCTTTACCTTGCCTTATGCCCACTCCTCCCTCTTCCTCGCCCCTCGCTGCCCTCCCTTCCCTGACCCCGCTCCAGGTACTTCTCATCGGGAAAATGCGGAGGAGGAGGAGGAGGAGGAGGAGGAGGAGGAGGAGGAGGAGGAGCTGCTGCTGCTATTGCTGCTGCTGCTGCTGCTGTTGCAATCTGCATCGATGTCCATAGCAACGATAATAATCCATCTAGTTGTTGGCACCACACCGCAGAGCCTGGGAGTATGACTTTACCAGGGGGCCCTCAACTCTCATTTGGAACGCAAGGCCTAGCATTCCCGCACGATGCTCGCACAGCGAGGAGTGGGAGGAGGGTGAGGATAATGATGCGCCCGTTCTCGCTCTTGTCTTTGCCCTGCCTCTTCCTGGCTCATGCTATGAACCTTTCGCCTGACCAGCGAACGAGCGAACGAGGAGGATGCTGGTGGACCTGCTCCTCTGCCTCCCTGCCCATTCCGCCTGCGCGTCTCGCTCTCTCCCCTCTCCCCCACGAGTTCCTGGAGGTCCCTGGAGGTCTCCCAGGAATTATCACCAGACAGGGCCGCCTACGCCACGATTCGACATGATTCGCTTGGCTGGCTGGGTCCGCGATTCCTATTCGATTCTATTTTGGTCGGCCCACCGGCGTCGGCCGAGGCCAGCCAGGGCCAGGTGCGGCGATCCGATTTTGATTCTATTCGGGACGACTCGCTAGTGATCCGATCCGTCTCCGATCCGATCCGTCTGCGAGCTTGGATCCAGCTCAGGACGGACAGGTTCCCAGAGGTCTCCGGAGGTCCCCTTGGAGGTCACCCGAGGCCTCCACGGATCCCTGGAGGCCTCCGCCCCCGGAGATTCAAGAAGTATGCAGAATGCGTCCAACAACCTTGATCCGCCCTCTTCCCTCCCTAGATTCGGCAACGTCTAACCTATTCTCCATCCCCGCTGGCCCGCGGTATCTCAGCCCCACCAACCCCACCCTCCCAGGTGGGGATGGGTCCCGCAAAACTGGAAGGGAGCAGCATATACACCCACCTAGGGGGCTCTGTCGGCCAGTGGGGCCAAGAACCATGCCAGTGGGGAAAGGGATCGGTGAAACGATGCTCATAGATCTTCGACCCTCGATCCTCGATCCTAGACCCTTCCTTCCTTCCGGCCCTTCCCCTTCCTGCTTACCTTCCTGCCCTCGTATTTGCAGCGGAGCTGGCCAGGCAGTTCCGCTCTTTGTCCTCCTTCGCTTCCTCCTCCTCCTTGCTGCTTCCTCGCTCCTTCCTCCTCCGCGCTCCTTTCTCCTCCTTCCTCCTCTTCCTCCCACTCCTGTTCCTCCTCGCGCTCCTCGCTCCTTTCTCCTGCGATTCCCTCCTCTCCGCCTTCCCAGCTGCGGTGGATCTGGTCAGGCCCGATTCGGCCTTCACGAGGGCGAGCACGGCCGGAGTAGCATTGCGGGGGTGGGCCGCTGGCTCAGCCGTGGGTGGTGGGGGCGGTGGGGGTGGGGGGGAAGTGCGAGAGGGCGAGGCAAGTTAGGTGCGCACGCGCCGTATCTGACATCCTACCCCTCCCACCGATCCCTTCCCATTGAACAGGTCTGTCCTCTATCCGCCGACGCGTGTCATAGCGGACGTGGAACTTCAAAAAGGACCTCATCGTGTTATGCGCCATCGGAAAAGTGGAGCTGTGTACATTGGATGAGGAGGAGTAGGAGGAGGAGGAAGAGGAGGAGGAGGAATTGACAAATGAGCAGGAGTATGGCCAGGAGGAAGAGGAGGAGGAGGAAGGAGGACGAGGACGAGCAGCAGCAGCAGGAGCTGGAGTGGAATGAGCGGGAGGAGCAGGAGGACCAAGGGAAGGCGGAGGGGAAACGAATTGCATCCA